TCCTGAGAAGAGCCAGGAGTGAGATCCCTGAGCACTGTCGGATGTGACCCAAAGACAAAAAAGGAAAGCATTTGAATGTTATAAAGTCACTTAGAAAAACAGCATCTCCCCACCTCCTCCTCATGGAAAACAAGCTGGTTTCCCCACAACTAGGTATAAGCCCAGATAGATCAGGTGGGGCTTCTTGATACAGGAAGAGCATCCAGATTCCAGGAAAATGCACCCCAAACCCTGGTCCACACAATCTTACAGCATCTCTGACCCGTGGTATATTCTGGGACCACCTAGAAGCCAGTCAATCAATCAGGCCACATGGCTCTGCAGATGCCATTTCCCTCGTGGGTTCTTTGGGAAGCAAAGGTTCCCCCTACCTCACGGAGATTAAAGAGGGAATCTGATGGCGCCATGGACGGCTCAGGTAGTTTGGGGAGTATAGTTGGACCAATTCTCCTTAGTGAAGGCTCGGGTCTTTTTCAACAGGTTTGAGTGGGGAGTGAGATGCAGGTTTAGCTTGTGGGGACAAAGGCCTGCAAGACAGTGAACTGGCTGCCCCAACACACATGATGACTCTTTTGGGGGCAAAAAAGCCTCAAACAAATTTGAATAGAGAGAGGGAAAGGGCTGGAGTGATAGCACAGCAGGGAGGAGGCTTATCATGCACACGGCTGACCTGAGTTCCATCCCTAGCACTCCAGATGGTTCCCTCAAGCCTGCCAGGAGTGATCCCTGAAAACATGGCCTAAAACCGAAAAAAATGGAACAATGGAAGGGGGAGAAAAGTCAAACCTCTGGCCTCATGTACAGTCCTGAGCGATTCCCAAGCTGTTCTGGAGTAAGCCCTGAGCCCCACTGTGCGCCCTCCCACACCCCAAAACCCCACATTTGAATTCACTGCCGTGCCCTTCTGCCCACTGCCAAGTAGGTCCAAGCCAGTTCTGCCCTGCAGTGATGTCTCCTAAAAGCAGGGGGCAGTGGCTGTACCTCATGGTTTGGGACTCTATATATCCTATGGCAGAAGTCCGGGGGTCTTTCCACGTACCTGCTTCATCTTCCACGGATGATGTGCCTCTGGGTGTAAGGATGGGGCCAAAGTGAAATGGACGATGGCACTGTCCAGTGTGTCAACACTGGGCTCAGAGCCTGAAGCTCTGGCAGAGGCCTGGGCAGGCCTTGGCCTTACCTCGTTCGCTTCCTTGACCACTTAATGGTGTACAGATGAGACCATTAGAGCTGAGTGCTTCTCAGTGGTCTCTCCTGAGGGGCGGCTGCGACTCATTCAACCCACAGGGTCCTGACCCTGCCTCTACGGCCCCTTTCTCTAGAGGGGTCACCTGTGAGGTGCACAGCCCGGATCAGGACAATTCCTTCTTTGTGTTTCCGTTGGACCCGTGCTCTTACATGCCGTCTATAGGGCTCCACTCCTCTCAGATGTTCCAACTACCCAATCCAACTCCCTTCCAAGCCTGCTCCTCTGCAGTGTAGACCCAGCAGTGCCCAGCATGTAGAGACTCGGGGCTGATCCCAGCAACAGCCCAGTGCCAGTCTCTAACATCCTCAGGCCTCCGAGGACATTCTAGGGTCACAGCAAGTCTCCTAATGCCACTTCCTGTAGTTAAGACCTCACACCTGCACCAGCAAGTGCAAATCTGATCTTGGCTTCTCAATGTCTGCAAAATAAAGTCCCCAGTGCTTGATGAAGCATCCATGCCCCCTCCCCCACCCCCAGTGGACCTATCACACCTGTGGACCAGCTCACACACTGGAGCTGGGCTCTGCGGCCTGTACCTGTGTCCTTTCCAACCCCCCATAAGAGCCCCATGTTCAGGCAACACCCTCTACATGTCTGCGTGGTTCGTCCCGACCCACATGCTCAGATGTGGTTAAACAGCCACCCTCCTACTGGAAAAAAAATTGGGGACCTGAATTCCCTCCTCGAATTGTACTTTCCATCTTATCAGCCCTGGCAGCTTGTGTTTAATGAGACGGTCTGAATGAACATGCTGATGCCAACACATACCACCTGTGGCTCAACCCCGAGCGGGATTTGACGTGTTTTAGTCTGACACCAACTGAAACTCTGGGGGAACCTGGAACCCGCGTACAAACCTCCAATGTGGCAATGTTGGAATTCATGAGAGAGAAAAAGAATGTCAAAGTTCAGCAGGAATAGGGTAGTGACAAGTTTTTGGGATTTCCCAAAGAGAGATCTTTCCCCCCCCTCCATTGTGGGTATCACCATGAGTAGTCCAAGTCCTTTCCACTGTTTGGTTTACTAAATGCAAAGGTGTGTGTGTGTGTGTGTGTGTGTGTGTGTTTTCAGTGAACAGAGCACCCCCACACCGCCAGCCCCCACCTGCCAATGTGTGTGTGTGCGTGCGCGCATTTGTATGTAGACAGTGTACAGAGCACCCCCGCTCCGCCAGCCCTCACTTGCCCAGCCTTACTCTGTACTTTTCCAAGAGATGCAATCTCGCCACGTGTATTTCCTGGTCCCCTTCAATGTGCCGGCAAAGCACAGGCTCTGAGCATTGGTCCATCCTAGAAACATCAGCATGCCAGTGTTAGCTGGAAAGAGAACGTTGACGCAGGACTTGAGAACCCTGAAGAGAGGGGCATGGGTAGTCAGTGTCCTTCCCTTTCTCTCCAGCTGGCTTTGGCCCATCTTAGAAAAGGGGCTAGAGGCAAGGATCACCTTCCTCAGCGGGGGCAATAAGCCACGGAACTTTCGAGGAGAGGGCAGGCTATGGGGTTTCTTTTATGGCCTGTACCCTGCAAGGATGTTCAGAGACTCTCTGACCTTGCTGGTAGCATCCAGCCTCCTCACAGCGGCCGGAAACAAGGAAAGCTGTGAGGGGAGATTTTCAAGACTCAGGCTCCAGCAGCCCCACATGGGCCAGAGGAAATATTCACCTCTGCTCATGTGCTGCAGTTCGGACAGCACACTGGGAAGTTAGGGACCACAGCGGGGTGCCCCCAAAGCCTATTCTGATTTGAAACATGTTTCATTCTCTTAAGACAATGAGACACTCCCAACTCACTCTCTGGGCAATTTTACCCTGATATCAAAACCAAGATAGAGAAGTTAGGCCAGAAACAAAAAACGAAGCAGTATTTCCTGTGAACATAATGTGAACATTCCCGTAAATGTACCAGCAAACCAAAGCATATGAAAAGGCTTGTGTGCCCAGGATGAGGATTCTAGGAATCAAAGCAAGGCTCGATGTGTACATTCAAATCTGTCAGTGTAATACGCCCTCTTCACAGACCAGGGAATAAGAATGGGAATATCTTAATAGACGCAGGAGCAGACTCTAAAACCCTTTCCAACAAACACACTACCCAATGAAGAAATGAATGGAACTCCCTCCAGCAGAAGAGCACCTCAGGTTCCCAGAGCTCACAGCACAAAGACAAACACTGGCTCCTAAAAAATTAGGAACAAGATGTTTTTTCTCAGTATTATACTTGCCGTCCTAAATCAGAGGGGGAAAAGGGAAAAGGAAATCCAGAGTAGAATGAAAACTATTCACAAGGTGACCGTGTGTGTGTGTGTGTGTGTGTGTGTGTGTGTGTGTGTGTGTGTGTATAATCAGAGATTTTTAAAAAAGAAACTGAAGTTCAGAAAAGCTAGCATAAGACCTATATTTCAAGGGCTAGAGCGCTAGTACAGCTGGGAGGGTGTTTGCCTTGCACGAGGCCGATCCGAGTTCGATTTCCAGTAACCCATATGGTCCCCTGTGCATCGCTGGGTGTGACACCCCCCCCAAAAGACCAATATTTCAAAACTGCATTTCCACAACAATCTAAAAAGGATATTTAGAAATTTATAATAGCACCATAAGGGATAAACAATTTATCAAAGTAATCAAGGCTTAAAAACTGACACCATCAATGAAAAAAAATTAGACGATCTAAATAAAATGGACATTTTATACCTATCTGCTAGAAATCTCTGTACTAAAATAGCAGTAGCCCCCAAGTTAATCTGCAGTTTCAACTTAAAATTTCTAGCAGCTTGGTTAGCAAAAATTTCCAACATGTCCCTAAATTCAAATGGATCAGCTGAAAGAGATCCAGAACAGCCAGAGAAATCTTTAAGATAAATATCCCAAATTCCTAACTATACAGCTAATAATAAAGCTACACAAGGAGTGGTACTGCATAGGACATAAATCAAAGGAATAAAATCTAAAACCCAGAATGAAGCTTGAGGGTATGGGACAGACAGTCCAGGGGTCAGTGGGGGTGCCTGCAGTGCACCTAGCACCACGTGGCCCCCACCATCATTGTGGGGTGTACCCTGGAGTACCACTGGGTGGCCTTGGGAATCTGCTGCACGCCAGGGCCTAAGCAGTACATCCTTGCACTGTCCCAGTTGGCAGAGTCACATGGGAGGCCAAAAAAACCTGAGAAGTAGCATCAGATTCCTACAATGATTTAAAAGATGAACTAAAACTGCAAGACACCTTATGAATTTTCACGGCTGAAACTAGGCAACGTTTAACAAGCACCCAAAGCATAACAAACAACAGGCAGTTGACTTGTGTGTGTTGAGGGGCACCATCGAGACACTGGGAAACTAGGGAGAAAAAGGGAGGGAAATACTTGCAGATTTGTCTACGGGACGAGTATTCAGAATTTAAAAAGTCAGCTCTAAATAGAAAACAACTCAGTTTAAATGAAATGGGAGCAGGATGGGAAAGAAAGCCCGACTGAGGCAAAGATGGACAAATGCGAGTCTGGGCTGTTCTGCTACCGTCACTTAGGGAAGCTGAAACCGAGATCAGGAGGTGTGATGTCACTCCCACTGGAACCCCCTATTCAGTGTTCCCGAGCTGTATAGAAACAGGAGCCCCCAGAGCTAGTGGGATTCCTCGACCACTTCTGAAAATGGTATGACGGTTCCTTCAGAGGACTAGGCATGGTACCCACAACCCCACTCTATGTATGACCCGAGAAATGAAGACTTACACACCCACATAGAAACGGGTACACACATGTTCAGAGTAGTAGTATTTATAAGTCGAAAAGCAGAAATAACACAAATATCCATCAAATGAACAAAAAAATATATCAATACAATATTATTCAACTATAAAAAGAAATTTAAGTACTCATACATGCTACAACATGGATGCACCTTGAAAACACTGTTCCGAGTTGAAAAAAAAGCCAGACACAAAAGGCCAAATATTGTACGATTCCATTGATACGAAATGTCCCAGACAGGCAGATCTATAGACAGAGAGTAGGCTAGTGGCCACCAGGGGCTGAGGTGGACAGGGAAGGGGCAGCAGAGGGGCAGAACAGAATCACTCCACATGAAATGGGTCCTTTTTTTGTACTTTTTTTCTTCAGTGATGAACATGGTCTGGAATTACCTAATAGTGATGACGGAACGATTTTGTGAACACACTAAAAAGCCACTGATTGTAATTTCTGAGAAAAATCATGTCTGAAATTTAGCTGACAAGTGAGAGAAGCCTCCTTCCTCCATCTGAGGTGGATGAAGGTCAGAGTGCTCAGGAGCAGCTCAGCATTGGTGCACGTTGAGGCCCCAACTCCGCCATTCAGGGCATCTGTCTCGACCTCAGTAAATCAGGGTGGGTTAGGCAGGACCAGGACTGAACCTCAGACCTGCAACTCTGAAGGCTATTTATTAAGCCTTCCCTACGCCCACCCCAGTCACTGCTGTGGGCTGAGCACGAGCCCACCCGTTTCTGTGTTTCCTGGACACTGGAGGTTGGCTGAATTCGAGAATCCCAATCGGAGGGTCAACTTGTAGCGATGGTTTGAAGTTCTGGCAGAGCAGGCATTCAGCACAAGTGCTTTGCTTAGTGCTTGCCAGAAGGAGCAGCTGCCAACAGCGGGACAGTGTGTGCTGCGGAGACAATGGCCATACGGGGAATCCTGTTGCCAGAGCACATCTGGTGGACAGAGCTGGGGAATACAAAAATCTTGCTCTCAACAGTAAGGGCGCTGTCCTTTTGGTCCTGCCCCTTCCTACTCTAGCTTCCCACAGCTGAACTGACGCCTCCTCAAGGAACAAGTCCTGGTCACTAAAGGCTCAAAATACTTAATAACAAGAAGCTTGGGGAGGGGCAGAGGAGGGAGACGCAAGGAGTCAGGCTATCTTTAATGAAAAACAAAAGCAAAACACCAAAACAGGACACTTCATAGAACCAGCTCATCCACGCCAGGCTGTTTCCAGGTATCCAGAGTGGTGACTGACTAGCTGAGCCTTGAAGGTCAGAAGGATAAAAAGTGAACAATCTTCATATTAGTAGTGTTTGCTCACATTCCTCGGAGTGGGGATAGGGGACCCCAGGACTCCTGCCCGTCAAACAGGAACCGTGTGTGCCGCCATGTCTGTGTGGGTTGAGGTCAGAGGCACTTGGGGAGTTGAGGAATCTTTAACGGTTAAGGTGCTTTGAAAAACTGGGTTTTCAGGGGAACTTGAGGAACAGGAAGTAACTGAGCACAGGTGAAAACACAGGGTGGGCTGCAAGTTGTGAGAAGGGGAAACTGGAAAACGATTTGGATGCCAGACTCGGGAAATTCATTCAAATGGGAACACTAGTGGTGGGGAGGGGAATTTTGTAAATCTGTAAAAAGTTTTGTTTTGGCATGATATAAAAAGATCTCAAGGAGAGAGGTGAGGAAGCAAGTAAGGATTGGTAGGGGGCAAAAGGAAGAGTAATTTTCAGGAGAAAAAAAAAAAACACCGATAAATGGAGGATTTAGGGATCTTGATAACTGGCCCTGGTTGAAGTTGATGATTTCAAGCAAACAAGCAAAAAAGGCAGGGATGCTAACTGAGGTAAAAGAAAAGAGATCCTGGGAACAGAATCTTCAGAAAATTCTTGAGGATACTCAACAAAGCTCTGCTGAAACCCCAGCAGAGCGTCTCAGGGCCACAGAGATAGACACTGCCACGCTGTAGCTCTATGCCCCTTGTAGTTAAGTATCCATGCCACGGAGGTAATCAGGAAAAAAACACTAGCAAGTTCCACCTGAGGCCTCATTTCCAAGTTTCTGGTTGACATTTACCTCTCAAAATAGGTATATAGCCCAAAGTACAACCGGGGAGTTTGTGGCTGTATTTGTGTACTTGGCAGGGGGGTGGGGGGACGCGGGCGGCATGCCCAGCAGCGCTCAGGGATCACTCCTGGGGTCTCTGGGGAATGAATCAGGTCTGCTTGCTGTGTGCTAGGCAAGCGCCCTTCCTGCTGTGCTATTACTTTGGCCCCTGTAATTGGATTTGATCACAAATTAACTGAGGCCAGGTATAGCAGCATTATACAATGTTAAGAAATCCAACTATTGGCCAGGTGCCAATAAAGTTTGGCTACAAGCTGCCTCTATGTTTTGAACATTATATAACTGATTTTAAAAAGGTGTATTTTATTTAGAACGCAAATTATGTCAGCTTATGGATCTTTTTATACCCCCCTTCCAAGGTTTCTGGAAACTGTGAGCAGATTCACAGAAAACAAATGTAGCTCGGCAAAAAGAAAGTAATTTATGAAGGACATTTAAAACAGAAGGAATAGTCATTACAGTATAAAAATTCTACTGTTTTCATCTTTCTTAACATATTATTCAATGACATTCTTTAAAGTAGTAGTGAAAGGTGATAAAAGGAGTGGTAAAAATCCAGTACAATTAATCATCAAACAAATGAGAGCAACTAGTCCGGCACAGTCAAGGACTTTTTCTTCTAAATTATTTTTTTAGGGGTAGGTTTATTTTCAACTGTTGAAAATCTATTTGATGTGAATTCTACATTTCATAAACTATATTCCATTACCATTCAAAAACTTTCATACAGATATTATGAGAATTGTAGAAATTCAATACTGTAGTGATAATAAAACTTGAGAACTGAAGAGCATAAATTTCTTCACGAATTTATTATATAAAATGCCCCCAGAATATTTGATTTCTCCTCTTCTCACTTCCATTATACATAAGCACACAAATGAGAGGCCTTCAGGGTGATGAGAGTAGCATGAGGCCCTCTTGAACTCAGGTGATGTACACAGACCTTACAGTATTCTAAAGGCTTGCCCAGAAAAAACACCATGTTACCTCATCACAATATGGAAAGCATTGTCATCTTTTCTCTCTAAATGATGGTGAAAATGCCACTGTTTTATTAGCATTATGGTACAGAACACTTCTATATCAATTACTAAAAGAATTAAAATGATCCTGAAAGACATCCTTTTTCCCTCCAATGATTTGAAAGCTGCGTTTTTCTTGCCAATTTCAAACAGACCGTCAGGCTGATCTGTCAGTTAAAACGATCATCAAGGCACAAGCTCAGCATATCAGCTATCGCTTGTAGTGAAAGGATATATCAATATGTCTCTCCTTAGTTAAAAATACATAATCCTTTTATTTTATATTGCAATAAAAGAAAGGAACATCACAGACACAGAAGGCTACCAGGGGGAAACTACTCACTTCTGAATGTCCAGGGAGTCATTTAGAACTATTGGTACTTTGCCACAGTACACCAAAGGAATATTTAACACTCACTTTTTTTTTTTCAAAGGAAAATGTAATCTTTGGGAATATACGATGTGAATAGGTATTCAGAGGAACAGTTCCGTTCATTTCCAGGTCTCTTGTCACTACTGTATGATTCAGCACGACAAGGCACAGTACTCACATCCTTTCCGTTATGTTCAAACACTGATCATGTGCCTTGATAAAATGGCGAATCAGACAGGTGATGGCGACACGAAGGGAAAACTTTGGATTGTCTATTAAAATGCAGGTAATAAGTCATGGATTCAAATTTATTTTAAGTGCACTTTCACATGCTTCGTGTTCATAAGAAACAACAAACTTCCTGACTTTCTTGCGACAGGCTTGACTACCATTTCATTTGGCCAAATGCACTTTTCCCCAGTAAACTTAAAACAACAACAATAACAACAACAACAGCAACAGTAACAACAAAAACAAACAAACAAAAATAATTCCCTGTCCTTTCAAATGCTAAGAAAGAGGGTTGGCTACTCAGACAGTTCATTGCAGGACACATGAGGACGACATACCGTGGCATGAGTTTTTTTTTTTTTTTTAAATTTGTTGTGCTGTTACTAAAGTCAGGTTCTGAGGGCTGCAGTGAAACATTCCAAGTTCTCCCTTCCATCTTTATTGATTCTCAAGATTTTGCACAGAAAACTCTTTGGGGGCTAGAACAGCAGCAAAAGCATCACACTGTTTCTCAAGACTTCAAGTTTCAAAGCAAATTGTTTAAAAAAAAAAAGTTCCTGATTAGAATTAGATGATACAGGGGGGAAAAAAAACACCCCAACAAATAACCCCCCCAAACCCTAACACACCAAAACCAAAAAAATATAAAACCTAGCACATACTTGAAGATTATGTTGTCTACAAATGGTGGCAATATTTTTTCTTGGGAGAGTAGTTTTGTTGGTAAATATTTTTTAAATAATCAGAAAGGCTCAACCTCAAGCAGTAATAAACACAAAGCAAAAGTGATTTAACCCTTAAAATAAATATTCAGCAAAAACTCTCTGTACATACAACGAGTGAAAGAACAACACTTTCACGCAAAAAAAAAGAAAAAAGAAAAAAAAAGTATCTGTTCATACAAGTAGCTGAAATCTGCTGTTCCAGCCCACAGATCCCCAATCAAGAAGGGCGGCCCGGACACGAGTGTCCGCTCCAGCCCACTATCTCACAGCCTTCTGGAACGGGAGACTATCACCATCAATTTATCCCTCTTGTTACATTTATTAAAAATTTTAATTTCTCTTCTTTTTTGTTGGTTTTCTTTTTTTGCTATTTTACAGCATGCCAAATCCTTTGGCATAAGTGATGGCCTTCAACAATCTCTCTTTAAGTTTTTCTTTGCTTGAATATTCCGGAAGTAAAAGGACATTAAAGCAAGTATGAGATGTAGGTAACCTAAAAGGGGGGGAAAAAAGAAAATTAAGTTCTGGGACACATGTTCCAGCACAAGAAGCCACTTTAGACAGTGTATTTGAGATGGTGCAGCCTGAATACTAAATGCAAATTACAGTACATCTACCAAATATCAGGTTATCTGTATTTCGTAAGTCACTGTCACCCTGTTGTTCACTGATTTGCTCAAGCGGGCCCAGTAATGTCTCCATTGTGACAGTTTATTAGGAAGCTTGGGCAGGAATGCAATAAATGTACATTGATACCATTATATTAATATAGGGTATTAAAAAGATGCTCATACATTTAAATCATTTAAATAGACCAGTCCAGTCCCTACTTGCCCCAATAGTGCTCCAGTGTTTCTCAATATGGCCCCAAGTAGGTCCCTGAGATATTCGATGGGCGGAGAGTGAAAATGGTGTAAGTGGAGGACCATGGCATGAGTCTAGGGGACCAGCCAGGATGGGGTAAACCACATTTAGGTCAAAGGGAGGCTATAATCAGAGAATTTGTGAAAACACTAATGACTCTAAAATTAGGAATTCAAAGTTAATCTAATACTGAACAGGTATATCTCCTGAACCTCTCTGAATTCAACTGTGATTATAGAGCAAAGTTTCCAACCAAAACATCACTGTATAAGAAAAAGTCACAAAATTCTAAACCAAGCGAGTCTTATAGTCATTTTTAAAAATAAAATTAGTATTGGAACTACTTCCTCAGAAAATAACAAGATAGGGGGCCAGAGTAACAGTACAGCAGGTAGTGAGGGTGCATGCCTTGCATACAGCCGACTGGGTTCAATCCCTGGCACCCCATAATGTTCTGTCCCACCCCCGCCCCCACCAGGAGTGATCCCTAAGAGTAGTCAGGAGTCAGCCCCAAGTAAGTCAGTAAAACCCAAAAGGTTGCTGGCTTCCCAAACAAAACCAAACAGGATATTCTCTTAAAAACTGTTTCAAAAAATGACTTTGAGCTTTTTTGATAAAAGGGAAAGTGTGCAGAAGGGACTGGACAGCTCACACAGTCACAATGTCACCCTTACCTTTCTGTGTCTGGGCCATTTTTGGCTATGATCATCTTTAATTTCCCCAGTCCGCCCACAGGTGCTCTGTCTGTGCCTGTTGTAAACTGCAAGAAGAGTCTTTTCTGCTCATCTGTAAATGAATGAACGATTTCCCAGAACTCCCTATCAAGAAAAGATTGAATAGTTTAGTTTAGCATTCTTTACAACAAATACTAATAAAAGCTTATTATACTATATATATATATATATATAGAGAGAGAGAGAGAGAGAGAGAGAGAGAGAGAGAGAAGTAGAAATTGTTAACAACTCTATAGTTATTCCTGATGATTTAGGATCTAGGAATCCCATTTATACAAACGTATCCTTAGGAAATGTTTTTTTTTTGTTTTGTTTTTGCTTTTTGGGTCACACCTGGTGGTGTTCAGGGGTCATTTCTGGCTCTGTACTCAGAAATTACTCCTGGCAGTGCTCAGGAGACCATATGGGGTGTTGGGGATTGAAGCTGGGTCAGCTGCATTGCAAGGCAAAAACCCCTCCCCACCCCCTCTACAGTATTATTGCTCCATTCCCAGGAAATGGTCTGTAGAATGTAAAAGATTCTAGCACATTATTAAGCCAACCATGATATAATCCCAATACACAGTTGAGTGACAAATGAACCCAAATTCCATGAATCGTATGTAAAGAAAAACTGTGAAAGTCACTGCTCGCATGTGGCTGCAGTGATGGGGCCCAGATTCAAGTCCCAGGCATGGCATGTTGAGCCCCATTCTGAGCACTGCCAGGGGTGGGGGATTATAATAGAATAACTAATAGAATAACTATTAGTTATTCTAATAGTTATTCTAATAGTTATTATAGGACTTTATAGTCCTATAATAGTTCTATTAGTTATTCTATTAGTTATTCTATTATTCTATTAGAATAACTATTAGTTATTCTAATAGTTATTTTAGGACTTTATAGTCCTAAAATTCACGTGTAAAAGCATGTTCTAAAAATGACTATGTTCACTAGTTACATTCGGGGCATCTGGCCACACAAGCCCAGTTGGAACAGAAGTGCTGCCCTGCCACGGGGAATGGAGCAAACAGTGCATTTTTTCTGCGGAAGGTCTTTGAGGCCCTCAGCCCTGAGGAAGAAGACCAGAGGTGGCCTTTCGGACAGATCCTGCAACCACAGGAGGTGGGCAGGTAGGTGGGCTAGCAAGTCGCCCTGATCAGATTGGATGCTTCTGACTCAGTTTCCATTGCTTTAACTTAAAACAATTCCCTTCCTATGTGTTATGCTCTACACTAAAATGTTGAATTACACGACCAGAGTGCACTCTGGCATGTGTGGTCCCAGGTTTAAACCATGGCACAGTAGTAAAACTAAAGGAAAAGAAAATAGTTAGCATCACAATCTTAAGTGGTGGAAAAAACCCAATAAGCAAAGCCAGGAAATATATTTTCAAAGAAAAAGAAAATGAGTTTTCAAACTTTTCAGTTAAGGTTCCTACTCCTCTAATATAGTCTAAGAATGAAGAAAATGCTAAGACGACTAAAACACAAAATGCTCTTGAATACAAGACACCCACCCTCATTCATGATGGGGAAAAACAAAGTAAAACCACAGTGAAATAACATTTCTCCACTGGCAGCAGGAAGACACCTGAGTTTAACGACCCCAGGGTTGGGCAGTTCAAGAAAACAATCTGCAGGCTGTTGGTGCAACGCCCGGGCCACTGACTGAGGAGACGCTTCTACTCAAAGGACAGCTGTGCCTGCCTGCAGCAAAGACTCCCATGCTCTGCTCGCCATAACTTCACCGTGGCACTGATACAGCAAAAATAATCCCAGCTGACACAGATGACAGCACATTTTAAAGGCCTCCATTCACAAGTATTTTTGAGGAACAAAACCACCCAAAAACCAAACTCAACATCACGTAGTCAAGAATCAATGCAGGCGCCACTGAGCTGATCTAGAAGCCTACTTCTTCACAAGAACTAAGTGTTGAAAGTAGGTAAAGGGATATACAATGTATCATTTCAGCATCTGTACTGCAAACCATATGAGAGTGAGCGACCAAGAGAGCTAGAGCCAGGTCTGCCACAGGCGCAGGCAGTGCAAGCAGGGAGGGAAACGAGGGACACTGGTGCTGAGAAATTACATTGGGGGAGGGACAGGTGCTCGAACACTGTATGACCCAATAATGAACAGCTTCATAAAAATGATTAAATAGATAAATAAATAAAAGGCCCGCTTCGTCACCAGCACCTCTTGGGCACAAAGAAATGGTGGAGGCCACCTCTCGGCCTGAATAGTCCCGCACCCCAAGGCTCAGCACTAGGTCATTTTCCTGGTTGGCCCTGCAGGGCTAAACACTGCTTGGAGGCACCTATTTCCCCCCACTCCCCGGAAAAAAGTTCAAGAGACAGTGCAAAATCTTTAGTCATACCAAGAACCAGAAAAATCACAAAGTGAAGAAAAGAAGATCCACTGCCATCAACATTAGAATAAAAAGATACTGTAATTGTCTTGATAATTTTAAGGCAGTTATCATTAAGATGGTTCAACCAACAATCACAAACAAGTTCTATTGTTTCACAACTGAAATCTCAGCATAGAAAAAGTTACAGTAAGAACAAGCTAAAAGGAACCACAGGACTGCAAAGAAACAACAGTAGGTGAGCTCAAAGGAGATGCCAGAAGATCTGAAGTAAAAACAGAAAGTCAGGGTGCAAACGAAAGGAACACCTTAAGTACATGTAAAAGAACAAATGATGATTCCATACTGTGTCATAGTGATCCAGAAAGAAGAGGTGAATGGGGCCAAAAAGATTTTGACAGGTAAAACTTGCCATATTTGGGCAAGATGAGAAGCCCCCAGTTCTAGGCGCTGAGCAAAAAGCTCATCACAAAATTCATCCTCAGGAGTAAAGAGGAAAACGATGACATAGGGACAGCCACTACACAGTGTATTTTATCCACTGGCCTTGGAAGAGTGATGACACACAGCGATACAAGGTGGAATCTTGAAACCACAGGGAAAATGGAAACAGAAGAACCAGACTACTGGTAAGTCTTATAAATCAAGTTTTAATGACAGACAAAATAGTTGTTAGTACTTAAGACAATTATACTTAATAAAGGAGAAAGAAGCCTAAACAGAGAGTTTCTACATTTCAATGACAAGATGACAAGTAGGCAACAACAAGAACAAAAGCAATAAAATAGCTAACTTAAGACCTAAAATATCAGTAATTATCATAAATACAAATGTTTCAAATATAGTGATCAACAGCAGAGATTGACAGAATAAAAAATGACTTAACTGAAAGACTTGTGGAGTGGGTGCAGCAGTGCAAGGCTGGGAATTGAACCGACAACCTCACACGTGCAATGCCTGTGATTTAACCACATTCCAGCCCCAGTTATATGACATAAACATTTCAAATTCACAGAATAGAAATCTATATGGGGGTGGGGAGGGAGGAGAGAATGTACCCAGCAACTGTTTTTTACAAACCAGAGGCAGGGGCCAAATGGGGGTCAGGGACATAGTATAGGAGGGAAGGCATGTGTCTTGTAAGTGGTCAACCCAGCTTCATTCCAGCATCCCATATGGTCCCCCACGCACCAAAGTGCAGAGCCATTGGTAAACCCTGAGCACTGCGGGTGTGGCCCCAAAACGAAAAAGAAAGAGATAGCACCGATGATAAGTGAGCATATGGCACTTAGCCAACCTGGGCTTCACCCCTGGCACCGCAAGCACCACCAGGAGTGATCCTTGAGCACAGAGCCAGGAGTAAGCCTTGAGTACTGCTAGGTGTGGTCCAGAAAAAAAAAAAAGCCCACAAACCACAAAAGCCTAGAAAGTTATATTTATATCAGATTCACAGCAAAAACAATTAGAAGGCATAACTTACAATGATAAAAGGTGAAATCCACTAAGAATACATATTGATTCTCAAGAGAAATGCAACAAAGGACAGTCTTGAAATACACAAAGTAAAATACAGAGAAATGTAAAAAAAAAAAATAATAAAAATAAAAACACAAAAAGAAGCACTATGTAAATATACCCGACTGATTTTTTTAGATGAAAAAGAAAAAGCACTAGTCTACACTAGAATAGACTAATATATTAGTACAGAGAATTTAGTACAGAGAAATTACTCCCAAATTCAACAGTAAAGACACTTAGACATTGCATTTGGTTCCAGAGAAATAAAAGTTGTATACTTACACACTGCTCTGGCACAGGTCAGGGCCGGGAGGGAGAATATAGAGGTCAGGTTTGGTCCCATGTGTCCAGCCCCAGCCCAGCCAGCACTGAGGCAGGGACTCCAAGCACTGACCTAGGTGTGGCCCAAAAAGCCCAAGCCACCTCCCACAGCCCCAAAAAAACCCAAAACTGCACGTTCGTAGATTTTTAATCAGAGCCCCAAACCAGGATAAAATAAATCACTGCTGAATCAACAGTATTCAGCAATAACAAGAACAAACTATAAGTGTAGACATTTGGGATCACAGAGGAGCCAGCTCCGTCCCTGGGCAGCGTGCCAGGAGTGGCCCCAGAAGGGCAGGAGACCAGGTCCTTAAAGGAACCTTATCACCGTGGGATGAGGGCAGCGGGCACTCTGAGCAAGAACTGGGTGTGGAGGTAGACTGATGTGCAGTACCATAGACCACAGTCCCTGCTTGAGAGGCTGGCTGGGGGGAGGAAGGAAAACTGGGAACAGTGGTGGGGGGAACAGGTGCCCAAGCACTTCCAGATATGACTGAGACCCCCCACTCCCCTACCTCAATCTTAAAAAAAAAAAAAAAATCTAGAGGATTTTCCTAAGAATCCAGGAGATGAAAGAAGCACATCCCAAAACATGACTTATAAAGTCCATTTATAAGATTGATAAAACATTGGAAAACTGAATGGAACCAATCACATCAATAGAAAGGATCAGTCTAAGATGATTAAAATATAGTCCTTGCTGCTCACCACGCCCTAACATGAAGAGTGAAGGGCGCTAAAGAAGAGAATCATGTATTCACATAGGATCTTCTCACATACATCAAACAGGAATCATGCTATTATAATAAAGCTAGATACAAGATAAACTTTTTCTCCACAAATAAAAGCACCAGAGTATCTTCTGCCATTCTCAGAGAAACATGCAGCTACAACAGTCTGCTCTGTGTGACAGTCTTGCAAGCACACTCTGAGCAACAGTGCATGTTCCCAGAGGTGCGGCCATCTCCAGCTCTCACTGAGTGTCTTCTCATACACCCCACCAGTGGACACCCAACATGCATCTTTTTACCAATCCCAACAGGGGAAGAGGAAGTTGGTTTCTTAGGAACAGACAGTGCGGTATAAAAAGCAGAATCCAGGAGGAAGCGATTGAGCTGGAAGCAGGTAAAACAAGAAATTTCTGGCTCTTTTTTTAAGAACTTGGGGCTCAGCTTTTTCAAGTATAAAACTAATATACAAACACACCTTTCCTGAGTATTCTTGTGTATCAGAACAGGAAAGAGTGTGACCTTTCACACAGAAGGCCTTCCACACTGAACAGGGAACAAGACAGCCAGAGTCGAAAAGGAGACAGAGTGTCGTAAGTGGCAGTTCTTGCACAAACATGCATTTCCAGCCACTCAGAATATCTGCTCAATTATATTCACGACATAAGAAAAGTAATGACATGCATAAAACACTCAGGATAAAAAAACAATACAAGCCAGTGATTATACTTTACAAAAGGAAACTGGTAGATAGAGAATTCATAAACTGGCTCCCGAGAGACAAAGAGTTAAAGGTCATAGGGTCAAACATCTCATACCTGATCAGAACAGAGTCCCTGGTGTAGCCACCATCATATTCTGTAGTTTCTTCTAGTGCTTGGAAATCTAAATTCTGCAAATTCAAGAAAATATGTCTCAACACTTTATATCACATATCGCACACAAAAAGAGGGTGTGTAATACTCTGGGACAACTGGCTCTCTTACCCGGCTTCCACAGATAAGCAATTCAATTTCTTCTGGTCTAAACAAGTACTTTAAAGGCGATTCATTGGTCACCATATGGAAACCTCTCCGAAAAGCCTTGAACTGTTTTTCCACTGACTTGTTGAGAATATAGTCAGAATAGAGATTAACAAATTCCTGCAGGAAGCAACCATAAAAACTTCTTATAACATGCTTACACAGTAAGACGAAAAGTCACTGTGCTACAAATGACTTTTTTTTTCTATTTTCCCTAAGGAAAAAACATTTAAGATTATTTAAAAGCTCAAACTTTATATATAAAAATACCTTCAACAACTTCACAGCTTTCAGACAGTCAATATCAAACTTGTAAAAGGTCATGCACAAAACCAGTCAATACAAATTCCAATTCTGATAGTACATTTTATTGCTAAGCAATACAAATTTTAAAAAAAATTGGGCTGGGGGGGATGGATAGTGGCTCTGCATCTGGCTGTGCTCAGGGCTCATTTCTGGCACTGCACTTAGGAATTACTCGGGCAGTACTCAGGTCCATACATGGTGCTGGGGATTGAACCCTGGTCGATTGCCTACCTGCTATACTATCTGGCTCAGCAATACAATGTTTTAAAAATGCACCTTTGGTGCACTGCTGAGGTTCTCCACTAGATGTGCTAATGCAGAGACAGTAAAGTAATAAATACACCTATTTATAAAAAAAGTACTTTTTTCTAACAGGAACCAAACTATTTTCAAGAGAATGCAAATGAATGGATCTTATTATGTTGTTTAAAAGTCTCATATTCTATTTCAAAATATTTGAGAAGCTGCCTAAACGTATACAGTTCAGCAAAAATGCTGGTGCTTGGCTATTGTACCAAAAATTTTATGAGAAAATCATCTAAATGTTTTATCGAGCATTTTAATATTTTATTTAGCTTTATTTACATAATAAGCTAAGTATTTTATTAAAATCTGCTGCACATATTTTGTACATTAAATGCATTTATCATTCAGTTGAAGGGCCGTCCTCAGGAAGTCCTGTCTCCCACTGCACCATCTAGTGTGAGCTACAGCCTCTCTCTGTGTTCCACACTAGTTACACGGAGTCACTGCCCACGCCAACACCCATTTCCTTCCATAAAAAGGGAAAGTACAGAGCCCTCTGGGCTCACACACCAGCTCAAACTGCAGCTCCTCCTACCTTCCTTCACAGTCCAATGAAACTGGGTGATTTGAGCTCTTGGGGTCTTCTACAGAAAGTATTTGAAATTTAAAATTTATAAGCATATATGCGCTAAAGTTCTGAGAGAGACAAAAACAACGACGACATACCATTCATTACCTCGCTAAAGTTCTGAGACAAAAACGACGACGACATATACCATTCATTACCTTCCTGTTTTCATTTGTGATTGGAATCTTATCGCCATTCTCCTTGAGATCATACATCATCGGATTACCAAACAGATCTGTCTGTGAGATCTGGAAAGTGATCATCATGTCCTCCTCCACGCTCCCTTCATACTCCAGTAGATCCTTTAGACTCTGATACAGAACCTGACAACCAGAAACAGGAGATTGAGGCTACCCCAAGAAGCACCAAAGACAGCAATAGCATTTTTAATCACTCTTCCTGGAAGAGACAAACCCTCTGTCAATTACAATCACAGCTCAAACTGTGTTTACAAGACAGAAACTGATGGACTGTGTGTCACTGGTGCTACACCTCTCTGCTGAAAACCCACACCACCAACCAGGGGGGCAGTTTTCACTGCTGAGGTAGGGGCTTGCAAACTCCAAGCCCCTACCCAGGGTCATCTCATAGCGTTTCATTAGAAGAAAAAATGTTTATGAACAGTTCTATGGATACCATCTTACAAAACCTTCCCACAGCTATTGAAGTGTTTGTACTGGAGACAACAAATTTACTAAATAGAGATTAATAGATTCCAAATGGAAGCTTTAAGTTTTTAAAATATCAATTAAGCTCTTATCTCTAAAATAGTATCCAAAAATTCAAAGAAAAATGGCTAAGACTTACAGGGTGCGAGTCTCCCAAGTCACGGAAAGTTCCTTTTTTCCCCATTAACTTTCTGTAGACAACCATGGGAAAATGTACATCCAAAATACAGTTATTGTAAATTGCCAGGCCCAACACTATGCCGATCAGAGTGAACTGCCCTTCAGTTTCAAAAGAAGATGGATTAAACCAAAAGAGTTTTGTGGCTTCATCATATGTGAACATACCTGCAGAAATAAAAAATACATTATTTTGCATGACAAGGAACACAAACTTTTTCTTAATAATGATGGCATTTGAAATAATTTTAAGAACCCAGGGAAATCATGTTAATGAACAATTTTGGTAACATTTTATAAGAAATTAAGAAAATACTCTTTTTCTTTTGAAAGGTTTTGGGGCCACACCCAGCAGTGCTCAGGGCTTACTGTTGGCATACAGAAGGACAAGGCGTGATGCCACGGATTAAATTCAGATCGACCACTAGCAAGGGGAGCACCTTACCCACCATACTCTCGAGGACTCTGAAAAATATTCTATTAACTCAAATTCTCTAATCTACTAATAAATTAAAAATTAGTTTACACCCACACTGTATACACAGAAAGGCTGAAAAATAAGTGCAAACACACTAACATACCTGTAAAAGCATTACATTTATAAAAACAAGTTAATCCACACATACTGTTTTTAAAAAAATGATTCTGTACTTTATTCATAATTTGTAAGAAAAAGTCTGCCTTTCCCTAAAACTGCACAATGCTCCCATAAAGTTCCTATACACAAAATCAGATAACAAGGAGATAAACTGAAATAACTTACTATGCTTAGATTATGAGCAAAATAAAATAATATCTATAGTTTTCTCTTTCATATTCACTATACAAACCCCTAATTTGGAAGCCAGTTTTAGTTTAATTTAAAATTACAAGGGCTGGAGAGATAGCGCAGTGGGTAGGGCATTTGCCTTGCACGCGGCCGACCCGGGTTCAACTCCCAGCATCCCATATGGTCACCTGAGCACTGCCAGGAGTAACTCCTGAGTGCAGAGCCAGGGTGTGACCCAAAAAGCAAAAAAAAAAAATCACAAATCTTTACAGCTGAAGTGACAGTACAATACTTGCATGCAGCCAACACGGGTTCAATGCCCTGAGCCTGAAATGAGTGAACCCCAAGTGCAGAGTTAGGAGTATGCCCTGAGCACTGCCAGGTGTGGCCCCAAATCCCAAAATAAATAAATACATGCATGCATACATAAAGAAAGAAATTAGGACTCTATTTTCTACCTAAATGAATAACCATTACTAAGACAGGATTATCTTCTTAGCCAAAGTAATAAAATATCTATGGATAAGTATTTAAGAAACAAGTTAAATATTTTAATTTAATTTACTTTTTTCTTAAAATGTTTGTGAAACAGGGAATTTAATAATTTGGTCTAGGGAAAAAGGAATTTCCAATATAATAAAGTAAAGTAAAGGCCCTCCCGTTGATCATCGATTTGCTCGAGCGGGCCCAGTAACATCTCCATCGGAGACTTTGTTGTTACTGTGTCTGGCATATCGAATACGTCACGGGTAGCTTGCCAGGCTCTGCCGTGTGGGCGAGATACTCTCGGTGGCTTGCCGGGCTCTCCGAGAGGGGCGGAGGATTAACACAAACGTACAAATCAGTTTAACTTTAAAGATGTTTCTTCACTTCTCATTCAGTTAAATACAAATTTAAAATGTCCCCTTAATCATTAAGACTTCTACTGCACATAGCATTCATGAAAGAGTAGTTTAAAATTTATCCAACTTGTACTTGAATTCAAATTTTAAATCTAAAAGCTTCATTTAATTGTAAATATAGCATTTAGCAGGGCCAAGAATTGTTCCCCAAAAAGTAGAACAAATTGATAAATTTGATGTAGTCGCACAAGTGCATGCCTGTGGTCTGAAGAGCAGCAAAACAGAAATTAATCAAACATCAATTACATAGGTCACTAGTCAGCTGTGTCAAAAATTTCAGTCCAATGAGAATACAACTGGGGGACATTTTTCAGGCTCCTGGAAGAAAAATGCCATAAAGTTTAGCTCTAAATTAATCCCTCCAATCAAGTGGAAGAGCCTAGTACTTCTGCAGTGGGACTGGGGGAATGGCAGAATTTAGGAAACAGCCTGGCAGTCAAGGTTCCCACCCCTGCATACTACAGAGGTGATCCTGGGGGCCCAGGGTCTTCCCCTGATGCTGTCCGGCCCAACTGTCTGAGAATCACCAAAGTGGCTCATGAACAATGCAGAGTTCTTCTGCCTGGGAGAACACCCCCTCCCCCCAAAGTATTTCTGCACATTATTCTAATTTATAGCTAATATTTATCATTTCTGAACAGATAATAGAACATTAGTTTAAAAAGCTAAGGAAATGTATAAATTTAATTTTCACTTCTAAAAGGGCATAGTTCTAAGTGTCTTAGTTTACTCTGAACAAATTACCTACGAAAGACAGTCCTAAGCAGATACAGGCTTAACTGTACTTGTGACAAGTGTCAAAGGTCTACTTCCATTTAATTACGATATATGTATCAGTAATTATGTAACAGATATGAAGAACGGTTAAGAGAACAGAAAAAACCATTCTATGAACACACAGAGAATTAAGCTCAATTCTCAAAGCTAAAAGAGAACTGATCTGTAATTATTCTACATCATCAAAATTCTATCACTCTATTTAAGAGGAATCTTGTGTCTAGCACGCTCTCAATTTGAAAATTAAAGCAAACCCTGGAGCCAAGTGATTATGTTTAATAAAGTCAGGTTCAAATCATTCAGGTAAAGCCCCTTCCTGCATTATTCTACCTAACCCACCACTGAGATTCAATCCCTTTAGCGCTTGACTGTCATCAGTCCTTCCAACTGTTCAGTGAAAAGTCTACTAGGAAATAGATATTACTAGATCAGGAATGTAAAAAGGGTCCTGGAGTTTACAAAGTTTGGAAAAACATGACATTAAGTCCCCCCAAATCCAGTAGCAAACACACCTTTTTTAAAAAAAATCACTTTGCTGTTAGTGTCTCCAGACTTTGATCATGAGATGCCTGAGGCATTCTTCACACTCTTGAGAATCCTTACTTCAGACATTCAGATTCTTACTTCAGAAACACCAAGAATATGATGATGCTTCTTGTTTTTTTCAGTCCTTGGTATGTTTGAGGGTCACACCTGGCTATGCTCAGGAGACCTATGTGGTGCTGGGGATCAAACCCAGGTCAGCCCAGTGTAAGACAAGCACCTTCCCCACTGTACTAGCTCTCCAGTCCTTAAGGAATGTTTTCAACTAAAACAAAGAAATCCTTCAACTGCCCTAATGTGCTAAAGGTTTTAATTTCATTTCCCTCGGAGATAACTTCCTATATTAAAATACTTAGCTATGTCGTCTAAATTTGAGTAAAATTTATTCAACTTGAATAAACGAGAAACTTGAATAAATGTGTCCAACAAATCAGTCCTCAAAACATACAAATTCAGGGCCTGGAGCAATAGCACAGTGGGTAGGGCGTTTGCCCTGCACGCGGCCAACCCGGGTTCAATTCCCAGCATCCCATATGGTCCCTTGGGCACGCCCAGGAATGATTCCTGAGTGCAGAGCCAGGAGTGACCCCTGAGCATCGCCAGGTGTGACCCAAAGGGGGGGAAAAAAACACATACAAATTCAGTCATATCATACTCCATCAAGAAATCTGCTATCACTCTTCATACTACAAATATTTACAAACCTGGTAAGCAAAGTTTTAGTTAAAAAAGACACAGCACACCATGATCACTTGGTTAAACTACTCACCGATATCCGGATTGAAGATTTCTTCCACAACCAGCTGAAAAAATTCTTTGGAAACTCCTCCCTCATCAACTCCTTGTTCTCCCTCAAATTCCACATACAGCTGCTTCTTCAGGTCTGCGGGGTTCTCCATGGCAATCATCTCTAGCTAGTAAACAAAAAGAGAAAAACAAATCACTGCCAGTTTAGAATAAAAGCAAAATTAAAAATAAGAATAAAATTAAGGAGTAGGGTTAGAAAGCAAACAAAAAGACATCTGTTTTAAACAGAGCAGGAGTCAGTGAAGGCCAAGATTCAGTCTTGCATTACATGGAAAATCAGGACAGACAATTGAAAAAGGATTACTTTTGCCCTGATGTAGACAGCAAAAAAAAAAAAAAAAAATGTGTGGCTCTGTTATTAACATGCAGCAGAAATCTAAGGTGACACAGGGAAAACAAAACAAACCTAGACAGCAAAATTCCTGTTACTCAAAAAGATTTTTAGCAAAACCAATGCAGTATATGTTTTATATCAGAATTTCTTGGGAATAATTCTGCTTATTTTTATCCCAAAAAAAACTTCATTGACTCTGGATGAATGAAGATGACTCTGGTCCCTTAGAAAAGTATCAGACCTTTTATATAATTCTAAACCTTTAATATTCAGTTTTTAAAATACAGGTGAGATATGTTTACTCAGATCCTCTAATAGTTACCAGACTCTACTTCCCAGCATTTCAACTACAAATCTTTAACAAAATACTTAATGCCTATAAATTAAAAACACTCTAAAATTAATCTCATAAAAGATAAAACGAAACCAGAGTCTATTGTGAAATAGTAGCCACAGGTTCATTGTTTAATGTTTCTGAAATTTACTAACAATATGCCCGATTAGTCATCAAGTTCTTATGCTAAAGTGACTTTACATACTCTTTAGCTCTTAAAAATAAATTGGTATTAAAATGTGGAATGTGTTCAGGTTACTGCAATTATTTCAGCTCAAATTTTTTAAAATAAGTGTGCTACAGTCCTACAGTAGAGTTACTCTAAATAACAAAATCAATTTGGACTCGGTCATCTATGTATAAAAATCTCATAAATTCGTAGGTAAGTCATTTGCCTTAGTGGACAATAACCAACGATAGAGGGGAAATAAGAATGCACTGCCCACAGCAATGCCCATGTACTGTTTTGAGAAACCTTTAAGAAAAAATGTACTGATACAAATTAGTATACTGGGTGCTATTCAAGTCTTACTCTTCTGGGGAATTGGTGGGGGGGGCGCGGTTGGCAGGAAGAGGAGGTTTGCAGTCAATAATGTTTTAAGGGCAAAATTAAAACGATCACCTGATTATTCAATTTCTGTATTCTATGATTCTGAGTGTAAGTTTAAATGTCTCTCCTTACACACAGGAATATGCAATATACTTACAAAGTAATCTTATGTCAATTTACACACACACACACACACACACACACACACACACACACACACACACACAGAGTACAGTGGGTGGGGTGTCTGCCTTACACGAGGCCAACAACCCAGATTCTATCCCCAGCATCCCATATGGTCGCCTGTGTACCACCAGGATTCCTGACCGCAGAGCCAAGAGTAAACACCTGAGCACCTCCAAGTGTAGCTCAAGATCAAAATGAAAACCCCCAAACATGAATTTATTTTTGAAATAAACTGCTGTGGATCAAGTCAGAATATCTCACTATCTCACACTAGTTCCTCCTGGCACTTAACTTTAAACCTTTACACAATGACCCCAGTACATACCACTCAGGGGCTACATCTGAGTGTGGTTTAATGAATAAATGGCAGTGAGTGTTAATCTTGACCAAGTGGCTCAATTAAGTCTCCATTTCTTCTACTACAAAGGTAAAAAGAGGGTATCTGGACTCCTCGTACTGGAGAGCAAGATTTAGGAAGAATGTGAGAGGGTGAGTGCTGGAGTACACTTTGTATGGGAATGGCCTGGGCTCCATTCCCGGCACCACCTGGTCCCCCAAACGCTCTGGAGTAACATATATCCCCCCACACACATCAAGCACTGAGCCAGAACCAGCCCCCAAGCAGGTGTGGCCCCAAACTCTGAACTGAACAGAAGTCGCAGACTTTGCAGTACAGGGCCTATGATTTGAAAATAACCCAAGGGAAAGAAATGATTGTATTTGGAAATAGTCTCCAGTCACAGACTATAGAGTATTCTTAAGGCTCGGGGCACCTTCTTAGCTTAAATGTGGTATCTAGTATGTCAGTTTCCCATACAGCCACTCCATACCAGCTGCTGGAGGAGGAAAACACAATATTTCTATATGCCTTCAAGACACAAAAACAAACCTGCCTGTACCCAAGTGAAATGTACTCCATGGATCAAAAGAAAAAAAATTTTTTTGAAATGAAACAATGGAGTCACATCACAGAGGCAGATTCCTCTGGAAGGATAGGGGTCTATGTGTGCAAGTACAGCTCAACACCCCAGGCTAACTCCTGCTCACTCTTAGGAAACCACTGCACACCCCATTTCTACCAACTCCAAGGTCACCATGTCCAAAGAACCTCTGCATTTTGGGACCTCTAACTGTACACATTTAACTTGCTCTATCTCTGCTTTTAGCGTCACCTGTAAAGTGGGCATGATGTGCTGTAATATGTAAGTCAGTGGCATGCAAAAGATTAGAAGAGTCCCTGCACAACAGTCTTCTACACAATGAGCTCCTGTGGCTGGCTCTATACTTCCGTACAGCTTAAAAATCTTGACTAAAACATTACAGGAAAAAAATAATCCACTGATGACAACACAGCGCACTTCTATGCTGGGTGCATTTTACATCTATCAGTTAACAGTCCCAACAATCTCACGCAATTAGCAATGCTGCAAACGACCAAAATTCACAGATGGAGACCCTGAGAAAAAGAACTTCGTAACTTAAAAGTCAGCCAGTGGTAGAACAGATTCTGACCCAGAAGGCTGCGTAACTGCGCTCAACTGCTGCTTCTTCTCTGGAAGTAGCGACGATCTCCTCGAAACTGTGAGTGCTTTACCTTCTACGTAAGCTTCTATTTTCCAATGTTTCCACAAAATAATACAAATTCCTTTTGATTCAGGTTTATACTGATGTAAATACACCAAAAAGAATGATTTGGGGAAAAAAAGGTGGAAACTGATTTGGTGGTAAAATTTCCCTTAATTTTAATCATTCTCATTTAATATACACCAGTGGTTCTATAAATTACTGTATCTACATAAGCAGTCTATCTTAAAGTTTTAATTGTGGTAACACATGTAGCAATAATCATTTGGTAAAGGCTACTTTTAAGCACTGCATTTTTCTTTAAAAAATAAAAAACCTCAAACCCAGTGTTCAAGTAGAAAATGATTTAAGAATCAATTTGCAAAAATCACTTTGTGAAATATGTGCATACCATTCAAAACTGAATTTAATTAAAGTCAGCCAGTGGTAGAACACTGTCTTAACTGCCTTGCACACAGCTAACCAGGTTCGATTCCTTTGCCCCTCTCGGAGAGCCCAGCAAGCTACCGAGAGTATCTCGCCCGCATGGCAGAGCCTGGCAAGCTCCCCGTGATGTATTTGATATGCCAAAAACAGTAACAAGTCTCACAGTTTGTTGTGAGACGTTACTGGGCCCGCTCAAGCAAATTGATGAGCAACGGGAGGACAGTGCTACAGTGCTGTCTTAACTGTAGTAGGACATTTGGAGATAAGAGGAACATGTCAATGAACATTATGAACAAAGGTGTCTGTATTCATCCTGGCTGTCGCAGGGTATCTGGAGATCAGGGGAATATGTCACTGAACTTCTGAACAGGGGAGTCTGTATTCACCCTGAATTCATTTAGCATAGACTTGCAAAGTTTTATAAATTTTTAAGGCAGGGTATTTTGTGTGCTAATTTAACAATAAGACTGTCAAAATACTAGTAGGGATGAAAAGAGACTGGATGTAATAACACCTACTACTTATTCATATGACTCCTTCTTCTTACTAAAACTCATCATTTCATCAACTTTTGGATGAAACTATTTTCAATTTCTGAACTTTAAACTGGCCATGATGATGAAATCCTAATTATTTTCTTAAAAAAAGACCTGATCAATGCACTCCCAGAATACTGAAGTAGGAGGACATCTCAAAATAGAGATATCATACTTGTCAGATTGGTGAGGAAAAAAAGAAAAACACCATTTTTCAAACCTTATAGGATTCTGGGCTGTTGTTCATGTCAAATCCATCCGTATCTAAAGTGGAAATTCTTTAAAGACTAATAATAGTATTTAGTTAGGACCGTATCATATTTTATACTTCAGAATACCTAAATTCTGTACAAATGGCTGTTTCAACGTTTCACTCTCAATGGTTGACTTTCTTCTCTCTTGTATCTGAACTAGACTACAAGATTTTTAGATATCCCAGTTAGACTGAATTTTCCTACCAATAAACTACTAATGGAAAGTTTGGATGTTTAGCAGGTAAATCACATAATGACATAGGTCTAGGAGAGTAGGAACCCTGGGTTTGAATCCCAATTTCATCACAGATTTCTCTATCCAAATCAGTTTCACTAAGATAGTTGCAGCACTATACTAAGAAATTTGACAGACTCCATTCTTTGAAATTATTATATGACGCTGAGAACAGACCCATTTCATTATTCTACTTTGAAAAAAAATTAATTTTATCCTAATTAGAATAGGATCACAAGAAATAAAAAGTCACTGCGTACACCACACCATGCAATGTGTAGAATACAATGAATGAACTATGGAGAGAAGAACTGAGTTTTAACAGTGTTCAAGCACTGCAGGTGGGTGGACAGCAAATCCAGGTTAAAGTTTGTGCTTCATCAATTACAAGGGAAATGCTGAGGCAGGGTTAGATAATGCTGCACTCCAGAAAAGAGGTAAGTCATTCTCAGAATGTATTAGGGAAAGAAGTTCGGGCTTTTCATATGTGCCAATAGCTTCATCTATTCATGCTCATATTTTCGGACTTTCTTAACCAATTCTACATTTCCAGCTTTTTCTTTTTGTTTTTTGGGTCACACCCAACAGAGGTTACTTCTGGCTCTACGCTTACAAATTATTCCAGGCGGAGCTCAGGGGACCATATTGGATTCTGGGAATTGAACCTGGGTCAGATGCGTACAAGGCAAATGCCCTACCCACTGTGCTATTGCTACAGCCCCAGCTTTTCTTTTGGTCAAAATTTTTACCTCATATTTCAAAATTCTAGGACTCCTAATCACAACCACAACTCTTGCTGTCATCATCTCCTAGTCTAAGTCTGCTGTTCTCATCATCCACTTATACAAAGTCCAGCTGTTTCCTAAACATGTTTATAAAAATGCTTTTTACAAATATGTGTTTTCACCGATGTGACAATAGGGATCCTCCCAAACAGAGGTTTGCAGTTTGGCTTTGTGAGTTACTTTGGGGTGTCAAAGAGATTCCAAGATTCTGCACTAGCACCCCTAGAATGAATTTAGAGGGTAGAATGCTGGGTTTAAAAACAAACTTATGTTCAAATGGGAAAACACTTTGGATTGATAGCAATCCCACTGTCTTCACAGAGCCTCACATCCTAGTCCTCTCTTTGCACACTTAGACCCTCTTTCTTTGGAAAGGCTTCCAGGAAAATGACAAAATATTTGCTGGAAGAACCTAGAGATAAATACTGTTTATGAAATATTGTAGAAAATCTCCTAAATATCAAATACAAGCTGGGTCTAGGTTGTGTTGATCCTTGTGCCATTTTCCTAAGGCACAATAAGCAGAAAGAGGGAAAACAAGCCCTGGGAGGCATGCTGCAAGAACTGAAGCAAGGTCATCAATGTAGTTCTGTGTTCTAGAAAAGCAATTTTGTTGTAAAAACAATTTTATCCTATTTCATTGCTTCTAAATTTCCCTCTTCTGTTTACACTACCCCTTGTAGTTAATTGGAACAATTTCTCCTTTCTTAGTGATAAAAATAATAGTGTGCTTACAATCAGTCTCTTAGGTTTGACAGAATACTGTAAAGAATAATGTTCTGGTAATCAAGGACAGTTCTTCTAAATTCTATACTTAACAATTTTTTTGCTAGCCTAGGTTAAATCACATAGCACATGAAAGCAAGAGCCTGTTTTTTCTTTGAAAAATGTTTCATTATTCCCTTGTTATTCCCTTTGAAGCCAGTCTTTCCTACAATAAACTGAAAGACCCAATAAAAGAATGTATCCAGTTAGTGTCATTTGTCATCACTCTTTTCTGACCCTCATTAATAACTACTACACAGATGTGTCCCTAAGAGTCCTCTTTTATTTTTAAAGGGGAGGGGGGAGGGACACACACAAGATTTATTTCTGGCTCTGTGCTCAAGAATCTCTCCTGGCAGGTTCTGGGACTATATTAGATGCCAGGGATGGAACCTGGACACACGCGAGGCCAGTGTCTACTTACTGTGCTATCACTCTGGCCCTACCCTAAGGCTCTTTGAGCTTTAACTATTTCATTACTGAGTCCAATATAGAGCTTCTTATTTCCTCTTCTCTTCCTGACCCTATGTTGTAATTTAAAAGAAACAGGTCATAAGAAGTCGCCAAGAGGTTTATTTCATCTGTCTAACTGAACTCGAAGAAAGCAAGAGGCTTAAAATGTTCACACCCAACAGTACTGGCAAGATGAACCCAAAATGACCTTAAACCACTGTTGCTTATGTTTTCTAAATTTTCAGGTGGGTAGTATTGGGGAGGGGGCACTGGGCCACACCTGGCAGTGCTCAGGGGTTACTCCTGGTTTTATACTCAGGAATTACTCCTAAGCTATGTTCAACAGATCATATGCAGCACCAGGGATTGAACCGGGAGGAGGTGCCTCTGCAAGGTGATCTCTCCAGCACCTACTTTTTATTCTTTGTTGCTAAACTAATGACTGTTATTAAATTTTATTTGCTATGACATCTGAAAAATAAGTATATAATTATTTCCAAGGCCTACTTTGACACTTATTTTTTAATAAAAATTTATGGGTAAAATCTGCATAGTGTGAATATCCAGAATCCCCAAGAAGGTTCTCAGTGGTCACAACTCATCTTCATCTCTGTGCTGTTGTATCTCTCTCCCTCTCGCTTTCGCTTTCTCTCTCTCTCTCTCTCTCTCTCTCTCTCTCTCTCTCTCTCTCTCTCTCTCTCTCTCTCTCACACACACACACACACACACACAATTTTTGAGGGTTTTGTATCACAAATGGCAGGGCTCAGACTTACTCCTGATAGTGCTCCCAGACGGTCTGCAGAGCTAGACAAACACCTTCCCACTGAACACTCCCTCTGGTCCCCACATGATTTTTCAGGCAAACTGCTTTTGTGGAATGGTAATATTCACTTACAGATATTATCAACTGATTAATAATAGCAACTGATTATCAAAAGACAATAAAAATCAATTTTAAAGTAATTAAACAGAACTGGTTAAGTTAGCATAATTAAACACTTCAGAGTGAACGTTATATTAAAAACCTAAAGACCTTACTTAAAATCCTTTGGGGTTGGAGAAATCACACAGTGGGGAGTTTGCGTGCGTTGAATGCAGCCAACCCAGGTTAAATTTCCAGCATTCCACCGGGTCCTGTGAGCCCTCTGAGAGATATGCCCTGTCTGGAGTGAGCCCTGAGCACAGCCAAGTGTGGCACTAACAATCTCTCACTCCCAAAAATAAATCACTTGAGGGGGTGGGAGAGTAGTAAAACAGGTAAGGTGCTTGCCTTGCATGCAGTCAACTATCTCAACACCCAACACTGTACTCAGTCCACCAGGAGTGAGGATCCCTGAGCACAAAGGAAGGAGTAAGCCCTGAGCATTGCCTGGTGTGGTCCAAAAACCAAACAAAATAATCTGAAAAACAATAAAAAGTACCTAATCTTTTGTTTGCAGGTTCTTACAGGTGGGTAAGAAAAGCAAGGGTAGCCTTGCTTTTACCAGGAAAGGAAATGGGACCTAGGGGAGAAAAACAAGCCTCGGTAAACTGGATTGGACTCTACAAAGAGCTTCTGAAATGTCAGGTTTTTGCTAAAGATAGGTCCCAGTCCAGAAGCCCAAAAGAAACTGTGCACAACAGCATTTGCAAACCTACTCTCAACAATAGATATGCAAGACAGATTGCAGTGTTTTCCACAAATCATCATTCATGCTCTTATTATTCCAGTAGGATTAGTAATAATAGCCTGATTATTCCCATGAACTCCATAAAGTAAGTTACTGGCTACCCAACAACTATTATTAACTATATTTATTATCCATGAAGCTTGAGACTACATAACTAAAATGAAAAAGGCACAGAAACCAAGTGATGGTAACAGTTCTTTGAGCAGTTACCGTCCTTTTACTGTCTCTGATGAAAAACTGCCTGAACTTCTTGAGTGTCAATTTCTTTCCTCAAGACAACACACCTGAAAACCAGTAACAAAAGTCAAGAGGGGCTGGAGACATAGTCGAGGCAGGGAGGGTGTTTGCCTTGCACACAGCCGACCCAGATTTGATCCTCAGCATCCCGTATGATCCTCCAAGCACCACCAGGAGTAATTCCCGAGGGCAGAGTCAGGAGTAACCCCTGAGCATCACTGGGTATAAATAAATACTATAAAGGCCCTCCCGTTGTTCATCGATTTGCTCGAGCGGGCCCAGTAACATCTCCATTGGAGATTTTGTTGTTACTGTGTTTGGCATATCGAATACAACACGGGTGGCTTGCCAGGCTCTGCCGTGCGGGCGAGATACTCTCGGTGGCTTGCCGGGCTCTCCGAGAGGGGCGGAGGAATCGAACTCGCATTGGCCATGTTGGCTGCGTGCAAGGCAAACGCCCTACCGCTGTGCTATCGCTCCAGCCCATCACTGGGTATGATCCAATAAGCCAAAAAGCAAAAACAAAAAACAAAACCCCCAAAAAACCACCTACAAGAACTAGACTGCTATGTTTTAAACACCTGTTTTAGGTGTCCAACAATTATTTCAATTTTATTATCTCTTAAGACAATTATAAAATATGTCTTAAGATGTCTTGAAATGTTACTAATTCCCTAGTTCAGTCTATCATGGGTCCTACTATATGGAAGAATAACTGTCTATATTTTAGCTAACATTATACTTTATTTACAGTAGTTGAAAAACATTAGCAATGATGGGTGTGTATAGCAAATGGTATGAGAATAGCCAAACTCTATTAAACACCTCAGGACAAATGTAAATGTTGGCACAAAGTGACTGATAATTTCTGTCTTCTCCTGAGCCCCTTGTCCAGAAATTAGGAGAATTCTGTAGTTCCCCATGTTCTTCCAGTCAGCATTCCAACTAGGCTGGTCAGCCAGTGCCCATCCATATCACACACTCCCAGAACAGGAGCTCCAGCAACTCCAAGACCCATGGGAGTCCCTCTGGATAGCGCAGTGTGAGTCAACTACCACCAGAAGGCAAGGCAGTGGCGGGCAGTGATAGGAACTCCCTGCCCGGCCACTTCATTGACCTCACAGTCAATTAATTTGAGAGCGAGAGTGTGTGTTGGTGTGTGTTCATCAACATCATATTAAAGCAATTCTAAATTTTATGTGAAGAGGGTGTGTGCGTTGTGTTTTCCAATGTAGCAAATGAATTCACTCAACTATACCTACCTTCCCATTGCTTTTCTAACATAGTCATAATCCTTTTATTTTTTTTTGTAGTTGTAATTTTTAAATAGTAACCCAACTTACCCGAACAAGAGCATCATCTATAATATGGTCACGTCTGACTTTGAGTCTCAAATATGGATTCAATTGCTGTCCTTGAACCAAACTGTAGAGAACAGTGATTCTTCGTTCACTGTACATGCGAATCCTATTGTCATAATATAATCCCAAATTCTTTGTGACAGCATTCAGTATAAAGGGACATGTCATGAAAGAGAATTTGTTCTCTGTTTCTACTTTGAAAAAAGTATAATCTTTATCCATTTCTAGAACATCATTCAGTGGTTCATTAATAAACTCTTCAAAGGGGATAAGTGGTTTTCGACAATCCAGAGTTTTGACACCCAGTTCAGTTTCCAGTGGGTCCACTCGTGGCCCTTTCTTATTTCTCCTTTCCTCTCCCAACAGCTCCTGAAGTGTCAGCTCACTGGACTCCGGGATGGGCTCCTCATCATCTTCCTCATTGTGGCCTGTGTCCACTTCCCCTCCTACCACATTGGCATAGTAAACCATTTTCAAGCACTTTGAAGCAGCAACAATAGCATCATCATCGTTCACGAGGTTCCGACTGTTAAACTCGTTGCTTATGACTTTGTAAGTAATAAGTTGCTGAAATGTCTCCATCATTCTCCGAATCTGGTCTGCATTGTACTTAGACCACAGTCTAACCAATTTTCCTTGGGCAGCCAGGGGTAGCTTACTCATTGCTTTGCAAAACAATGGCAAAGCCATTTCCAGATATTCAGGACTATGGAGATTTCTATTCTCCATTACAATAATGAACAAATTCAGATAATTAGGATCTCTGGAGTACACATTGTGATACGTCAAGTCACATTCCACGTTAGGTGACAGATATACAAGTGCATTGAGAAAGGCAGTTTCTATTTTTTCATTTGACAGCAATCTGATGTAGACCCTTCGAATGGCCTCGATATCCACAGACACATCATCAGGGCCTAGTTTGTGTAAGTTGTTTTCTCCTTGTGGGTTCTCACTTACTCTTGAGGAAGATGCTTCTGAATCTTCTTCCATAGCAGCAGCAGAACATGCAGCCTTTTCCTTTTCATCTTCATCTTTGTCTTCATCCTTTCCTTGAAGAGATTTCAGTTCTTCCTTGGTGTGTTGTTTGACTTTCCGAAAGCTCTGTACCAATGCTTCAGCACTTGAAAAAACTCTTCCAATAACACGGATTAAAGGGGAATAATCCTCTCTCTCTCTACATAATTCAAGAATTTCATATACTTTCTCTTCCGTTAGGTAAGTCACATCTAGAAAATTAGAGCAGAAAAAAGAAAATTTATTTTCATAATACTTGCAAGCTCCTTTTCAGTAAGCTCAAGTAAAAAGTAAAACAGCCAACTATCTGCACTCAATCCCATTTATGATTTACAGGTCTTTTTTTTGGGGGGGGGGTGGTCACACCCAGTGATGCTCAGGGGTTACTCCTGGCTATGTGCTCAGGTGACCAGATAGGATGCAGGGGATTAAACCTGGATCGGCTGCATTCAAGGCAAACCCCTACCCATTGTGCTATGGCTCCAGTCCCAAGTCTCTTGAAAAAATAATTATTTAGATTCAACACAAACAATATATGCTTGCCTTTATTTTTTTTTTTACCTTTTTCAAAAGCACCTCTAATCCTTATAATTGCATTCAATAAAACATGCAGCTCTAACTATAAGCATGAACTAAGATGGTATGGGCTAGTTAATCACAATACACCTTTGACACCATTACTCAACGGTTCTCCTGAGATGCCCCATTCTGATTCTTCTCGGTCCTCTAACACTAAGATTCCTAAAACACAGAGTTTTCAGAAAAATTCTTCCAGTATCCTCTTTTGGAAGTTGTTCCTCCCCTACTTTGGAATGGACAAAAACACAACGTTATTTTTGATGAGCATTCCACAGATGACTAGGAAAATTAATTTTCCTTGTCTCTTAAGACCTTGATCAACAAACACTGTCATCTACAGTTAGAAGTGAAGCTGGAATGTACCGTATGGAACAGTTACTGAACAATTAAAAGGAGTAAGAGGAAAGACAGCAACTGATTTATTAACATACAAGTGAAATAGACACTATCAAGGCATGTCCCAAGCACTCACCCTGCCTGGGCAAAGAGCTGGCCCACATTTCCCACCTTCCTGGCCTTCTGAAAGAATTGCTACTTGACTTTTAGGCCACAGCTTTTCTTCTTCCACTCCAGGATGGACAGTCAGTGTCAGTTACCCTACTGCCTGTTAAGACTCTCGAATGAGTCATACATATCCCTGCTTATGTTTAATGAGCAGTGCTCCTTTTGGGTTCTCTCTGAGAAGGCAGTCGAACCAGTCATAACTATAACAGACCCTTTCCATTTCTATCACATATTCAGAATCTTAGCAACTCCAGTCCAGTCACCTGTGAAGCTAAGCTTAGTCCTTCTGGGTACTGTGCTAGAAGTTAGATTAATATAGTACCCATACAAGGGAGTGTTACACTACATTTTTCCATGATGCCAATTCTCCCCTATAAAGAAACAGTACTAGAAAGGCAAAAAGGACAGAGAGACATAAAAGGATAAATCTAGTAAAAGCCAATGAGTCATTTTCAGAGTTACTAAAATGTGAACAAGGTGAAACTAAACTAATGAAAGTACACTGTAACAAGAAGAGAATCCTATAAGGTTTTCTGGGAAGAATGTCCACTCTGGTAACTCAAGTGAGGCCGGGCCCTACACTGCCACCTCTGCCCCCGAACACTTGCTGTATTTATCTACCATTATTCCCTTCCCGACAAAACCAGAAAAAACTACGGCACTCATCCTCTTCACCACTCCAATTATAAAATTCCCTTTTAAATTTTAATTGGGCTAACTAATATTTTGGGATAATTTTTCACTACTCAGGTCAGTAAAATCACTATCAAACTGTGGAAGAAATAAAACAGAGCTCCCAAAGTAAATTTAAATAAGTTTTCATCAGTTTTTCATTTGAAATAATTCTCTGTACTTAAGGCAACCGATAAACGCAATCGTAGCCGCATTAACTTATTTTGAAATAATATTCCTCAGAACCAGCTTGCCATTTTGAGTAGCAATTTAGGTATGTTGCTTTAATAAATAAATGATTTATTTATACAGATGATACTGGTCAAAAAACAGAATACTAACAGAAATCAAGCTATCCTTTTGAGATAATGAAATATGCAATTAAGTACTAAGGATAATTTTTGTCATACCAGCAGTCAAGTTTTTATTGTAATAAATGGATCTTTATTTCTGTACTGTACAACATGTTCAATGTCTTAAACAGGTACCAGGAGCTCAGCAGTAGAGAAAGTCTTGGGTTCAATTCAAGGCAACTCCCGCACCCAAAAATCGTAATACTCCATAAAGTCCAGAGCTTTTTTGTTTTTGCTTTGGTTCAGTTTTTAGACACCAACTAGCCACACTCAATGGACCATCTGGAGAATGGAGTGCCATGAATCAAACCTGGGTCAAATGTTCTATCTGTTGTACTCTACCACCTGGAAGGCAAACGTTCTACCTGTTGTACTCTATACTGTTGTACTCTCTGACCACTTACTACAGTCTCTGGGCTAAAATAGATGTTTCACAGCAAGTGACCACAGAAATGGTCACCAAAAATTAAATCACAAAAACAAAACAATTTGATGGCACCTGAAATCTGTTCCATGTTCCCTATTACCATATAGGCAATACCTGCAGAATTTCTTCTGCTAAGAGGCAACTTCTGAAAAGCGAAACTAGAGATTTATTTCTCGTAATTTTAATTGGAAAATATTTAATATTCTTTTAGAGGGAGGGGAGACCCTTTTGGGCAGTCTTAAAGGAACTTGGGAGACACTCCAGTGATACTCACCCAACTGTGCTGGTTGGCATAGAGATGCCAATCCGTATGTGACAACTGGGAGCCCAGGACTGCAAGGCATGTATCCTAACCCCTATACCATCTTCCTGATCCTAATAAATTTTTTTCTAAAACAATGCAAATCCCCAACAAATCCCCAGCAAATCCCCAATTTCCTACTATGTAGCCAAAACACAATCAATAACTATTGTAAATTAACTGTCTTGGTAAAATGTTAAATATCTGCTTCCTAATCTTCACAGCATAAAGTTGTTGACAAAGAGCTGCTAGACACACATATCGCCAATCATACTGAATGCCTGTGCTTTCACAATATGCCCTTTATTGGCATGCAGTGCCCTTCAGAAAATTTTCTGAAGCCTGACATTCCTAATTTGACTGAATCTATCAATACCTTTTCTCTAGAGTTTTGTTAGAAATGAACATGCATAGAATTTGAAAACCGTAAAAAAGAGGTGATCTACTAAGAAAACAAGCATTCTAGCATCGTACATCTGCGTAAAATGTGAAGGATGTGCAGTTCCTCTACTTAAAAAAGGGAAAAATTTAGAGTGGACTATTATAATACCTATGGAATGCTGTAACTAAAACCAATAAAATTAATGTTAGTATTCATGCAATTATAATTCCTAATAGAAAAACACCCTAATAAGTGAAGAATGTTACCAAAAAGACACTAGCATTCTGGATAAAAGTGTAAGGAAGTGTGATAATACCTAACTTCTGGACCATCTAAGGACAAACAGCACATAAAGACCGGAACTATCCACCCACTCACTCAACAGACTGGCCAATTCTTGGACAATTGCCCCCTTGACTGGCTGCATTCAACTGTGCCAGCACTGTCTCCATATGCAGCAACTGTTGCTCTACAGTATATACTTGCTGGAGAAACATGTATGAGGTCTGTGTAACGCCCACAATATACACAGCTAATTCATAGTAACAGAACTCTATGTATTCTGAAATAAAGTTATGAGTTACAGCTTGTGAAAAGCTGTAATGATTCATTTTATAATTTATTTAAACTTGACTTAAGATCACGATCACGACCATCCTGCTGTTCATCGATTGCCTCGAGCAGGCCCCAGTAACGTCTCATTTGTCCTAGCCCTGAGATTTTTAAAAAGTGCATATTCAAGGCTCTTTCAGGGTTAGGAGAATGAGACCCATCATTGTTACTGGTAGCTGGCATATTGGGTACGCCACGGGGAGTTTGCCAGACTCTGCCGTGTAACTTAACATATTACTAGAAATTTTAAAGGTATATTCCAAGCTACATATCTATATATATGTCAAATAAAAAATCTCTTAAAAAATACTGCCTTTCATAAGACTGAACCAGGTCAATCATTCAAAAATCTGTTTACCTCGTTACTGATTACTTCCACTGAGGAGAGAAAGAAAGAGGATATAATGATCACAACTAATCTAAAGTCCTGAAACAATCAAAAAACTAAATAAGGCCTAAATGGAAACAGCCACCAATTCAAGTCTTGCTAACATGAATGTATCAAGGACCTGGAAGACAAATGAGCAGGTTATAAGAATAACATATGGGGGGGAGGGGAGGGAACCCACAAATTATTTCTCAAGTATCTATTATAAAATGAGAGAGTATTACAGAGGCTATGCAGTTTCCCTTGTATGCTGCTGATCCAAGCTCGATACTCAGCACTGGATATGGTCCCCTTGAGTCTTGCCAGGAGTGATCCCCTAAACAGAGGTGTGCCAAAAAAGAAAGAAGAAACAAAGGGGGGGGGGGGGGGGCAAAAACAGAGTTGCCCTGCCTCTGGAAATGGCAAAAACCCCAGTTTCTTTTTTCTGCTTCTTTCACTCCACACAATGCAGGTCCAACTATGTTAGAATTTAAGCAGACTTTGTGACCTAATTCAAGTGAATATCTGACTTAATGTCTTTCTCCTAGTGGAAAACATCTCTACATTCCTAACAATCCATTAACAAATTTTTGGATTATAATCTGCTTCTAGAGACCACTGAACATTAAGATGTAGTTAAGTCAATTAATTTAGTTCTGTCCTTTATCACAATTAAAAAAACCCCACTTCTGCTATCAATCTGTTCAAATTATTGCATAATTAAGACAGAAAAGCCTCACATCTTATTTGAATCTCCAATGTAGTTTCCGGTCAAAAATTCTCCATGATAGATAGAATAGCTTACCTTTAAAATCATCTCTAGCTCCTTGTCCGTCCTTCTTGTTCATTTTTATCTCAGAACAGTTGTTAGAGGCACCTTTTGAGTTTTCAAGGTAAGCTGAGCTTGCTCCTTTCTTGGAGGGATGAGGGTCACAGAGTTTTGCATTAATCTTATAAAGCTCAAGGGCTTTAATAGCTGCTGCATTGTTATCCATACGAAGAAAACTTGGACAGGAAGCACAAAACTCATTCGTGCAGGCCTCATTTCCACACCCCTCAGTTAACTGGTGGTAGTAGCGTTCTATTAGATGCTTTGCAGCTGCTCGCTTCCTGTACCAAACATTTAAATAATAAGCAGAGTGATTAGTACAAAGCTCAACAGATCATCACAGCAAGGCAATAGTCAGGCACTGACATAATAAACCACTAGAGTAAGAAAGAGCAACTGACCACACAAAACTTTATAAACTAGTAAAATACTTTTTATTTCCTAAAGTACTATCACAGACTATCGTTGTTTATCCAAATCATTAATAGCATATGCTTTACTTTTTAAATAGTTTTAAGTGGGGGGAGGGGAACTTGATTATATACTGTGCTTAAAATGTAGCATTAGCTACAGAAATCCCAAAGTTTAGGGCTTAAAGTTTATTTTATTACTTTTAAAATTAACATTGGGATATCAGTTAGGTATCAACCTAATTTTCCTCTACATTGTTTCAATAGTCTACAAATACTTGATTTAGAATTAACAGACATTCCTTTTACCAGGAAAAAAAAAGAATTTTATTCCCAATCACCCATCATATGGGAAATTTAATTAACTTATTATAAATATCCAAAATTTGTATGCAGATGTGTTCAGTGCAAGAGAATGGCAACATACAATCTCGAACCCCAAATATATGACTGAACCTCTTTATTAATTCCATATCAAAGATTCACAGAACAGGTTAAGAGCCATTACTGCAAAATATTACATTCTTATGCTCCTACTATCTGCTGATACAAGATTTAAGTTGTCTACTGGGTTCAAAGAAAGGTAATTTATAACTATTCATTTGGTCTCAAATTCATTCCTCCGCCCCTCTCGGAGAGCCCGGCAAGCTACCGAGAGTATTCGATAATGCCAGACACAGTAACACATAAAGTAAAAATATAAAAATTCTAACTACAAAAATTTCTCTAATTCTTAAAATATTTTTATATTTTTCTAACAGGTAGAACTAAATTGCAAATGGCATTAAAGTTTATATCTAGTTAATCACGGGAAAAAGAACAGGAGGCAAATGTGGAGTAAATAAAGGAAACAGCAAGTCCAAGCAATCTTAAGTCTAAAAGGAAACACTCCTGTGTCTAAGCTATAAAGGTAAGTAACAGAGTAGCCACTCAAACTTAAACATTTCATTCCAGTGCTTCTATTTTTCAAATGTCTCAATGTAAACTCACCACTTCTCATTACATGCAGAGAGGGCAAAAACCTCTAAAACACACATGAGCATTACTGTAAAAGAGATCTGTTCACTATATGCAGCTACAAATAACCCTAATTTTATAAAAACTATTCTAGATACTACCTAAATGTGAAAGTGACAGCCAAGACAACACAAAAAAGGATACGACCCACTACTAAATACCCATTGTCTAATCAAAGTTTATTTGTCAAGTGAATTGTGATTTTGAAGAAATTATTTTTTTCACATTAAAAGAAAAAGAAATGTAGAATCTAGAACATTCAAGTACAGTTTACAGGCTGCTTTCTTCTACAAAGAATGCGTGATTAATACCACTCGCTTCCAAACTGCAGTCTCTTTCTCCAGTGAGAATATAAATAAGCATTTTCTTTCTGGAGGAAAATTATGAACCTGTATCATCTTTAAAAATGAGTCAGAGAATGAATCATAAGAACCAGAGATCCACTTACAGGAAGTAACTAGACAATTTTGCAAAATTATGCTGTTTCTAAGAAATCTGGGGGCAGGGATATCATACCCAACAATACATAATTATGTAAATGAACTGACAACAGTTCACATGGAAGAAATGAAAATGACCCAGACCAGAATCGGTCAAAGCACACTCTTCTGTACAGAGTAAGGTACAGAGTTGTGAAGAATGAAGCTTTCCCCCTGCTATTTGATGGAGTAGGGATCGAACCAGCACCTCACACACAGCAAGGCCAGTGCTCCATCACATTCCCTCACTGGGCAACAGCTCCAGCTCCAAGACAATTTCAAGTGTTAATAATCAGTTTCTGTTTTGTTTGGGAGACACACCTGGCAGCGTCCAGGGCTTCTTGGCTCCTTTACTCTGGAATCACATCCTAGCGGGATCATTGTGGGATGCCAGGGATTAAGCCCAGGTGGGTCGTTTGCAAGGCAAACTTATCTTTGTCACAGATAAAGATTTCACTTTAACCTCAGGACTCAGAATTCTCTTTAGTCCACAGTGACAAGACAGAATGGAGTCAAAAAATCACACAAAGCAAACCAAGCAAAGTGCAGTGCCAGGGCCACAATAGGAGCCTCAGGGGTCTCCACACTCCAGACTATTTCTATTACACCGAGGCCATTCATTTAAAAAGGATGGCAGTACTAAAAACATCTACAAAGAAGTGCCACAAATAATGTGTGCATGAAAAAATTATCTTAAAAACACCTAAAATATAATGGAATAAAAAAAATGGAATCTCTGCCTGGTATCGCATATGCTCTGAGGGTGGGGCTAGGGATGGCCTAACAGAAAGAAAGGTTGGTAGGTGAAAGCAAATTAAAAACGCAGGCTTACACTGTCAGCCGCAAGATTATTTTAAACATGCTCATTTGTGCCTGGCTGATAGCTCATACGGCAAAAAAAAGGGTTTTTTTCAAAAAAGGGTTCAGCTCCCTGAGCACTGCTGAACCAAACAAAAACAAAGAAATTTTGCTAACTACAACTTCAGAGAAGGCAGTTCACCTAGCAGAGGAAATGGTCTTACCCAATCAAAGAGGGAGAATGGAAGAGCAAGATCTTCTATGGCATGAACACAACTTACATTACAGCCTTATCTAAATGATAAGGAGGAAGAGGGAGAGGAGGAACATGCTGACCATCACTTACAAAGCAACCTGGCTGGCCTGACAAGAAGACAGACTGTAGGAAAATATAGCAACATTCAAAGCCCTGGTAAATGGCTGAGGCTAGGAGAAACAAGGTTGCCAACAACAGGAGAAAGAGCTAAGACCGAACTTAAAAGGCAATGGGAAAATAAGAGATAAATACAAGAATTGACATAAGGTCATAAAAAACTCAAGAATACAAGAACTGAGATAGGGTCATAAAACCATGCTTTCAGAAAAGGAAGTTGGATTAGTGAACATCAGGCAAACAAGACAGCAATGACAGAAATGAAAGGAATGATGACTGTGACATGAAATGTAAACTGATGCTGGCCAAAGTACAGACTCATAAAAGATAAAAAGGCAAAGAAAAAAAAATCAATCATGAACCTAAGTAGAGTGACATTAATCGATCAAGGAGTTGAATAGAAAAGATATAAGAAATCAAAAAGTGAGAAATGAAACAGCAAATGTCCAGGGCTGGAGAGATAGCACAGCAGGCAGGGTGTTTGCCTTGCACGCAGCCGACCCAGGTTCGATTCCCAGCATCCCATATGGTCCCCTGAGCACCACCAGGAGTAACTCCTGAGCGCAGAGCCAGGAGTAACCCCTGTGCATCGCCGGGTATGACCCAAAAAAAAAAAAAAAAAAAAAAAAAAAAAAGGAACTGCAAATGTCCAAAGCTTGATAAGTCTAGAAAACTAATAATCACTACTCACCTAACTTCTCAAAGTAGAAAACTTCTTGTTTCCTTCTAGAATGCAATCTTTGAAAACACTGTGGACCCCTTCCCTAATGCTATAGTTAATGCAAATGGTTTCAAAGAGAGAACAGTGATTTTCTAGGTATGATTCAGGCTTTAGAGAAAAAGAGCTGATGAAAAATGACACAATTGTGGTCAGGTTTAAGGTCAAGGTCTACACCAAAACAGTGAACTGTTTACTCAGTCATCTACAATTTTGAGCTGATCATTTAAAAAATCAACCATATTATTATAAAAGTATTTTTTCATGAAAATGAGTTTAAATATAAGGTTTTTTGTTTTGTTTTTTACTGTATGAAGTTTAACAGCAACTCGTAAAATGTGTTCTTAATCATTACGACCCTAATGCCCAGGCTACTTGTTATAGTGAACACAAAGTAAAATTGCAGAATCAAGTATTCACATAAAATTACAGCAAAAGTATAATAACCCAAAATGTATCTACCTCCCTCCAATGCAGATTTGAAAGAGTAAGGAACACAGAACACTATCATCAGAGTTGTGCTCCTATTCAATTCTGAGACAATAAATATATTTTGATATATGGTTCTAATTCCAAAACTTTGTTTATTGTGGGCCAGACAATATATAAAAAATTCTTTAATAAAGATCTGAGTGGTCAATTATTTTGCAGTCTATTCGGCTGAGTTTTTCCAGAAGGTGAGGAAGCTTCGAAAACAGAGTTAATTTGCTATTAGAAATGCTGTGAGAGCTTTTAGTTTTAGGGTGAGAAAATCCTAGATACTGACTTTCGGCAGCTTTCTTCTAAGGATTATTTAATTATATTATTTTATTAAGTTAGTGTTGTATGAACAGTAAATGAACCAGCAGGTATGTGTTTCCTATCAAATGACAAGTTTTCCTAAACAAACCAAGTGAATTGTAGGAATACTAAGTTTTACTGAACAAAAACTAGCCAGGGGGCAGAGTCTCAACACAGCCCTGCCTTATACAGAGAGGACCTATCTTGTCTCGGAGCCCTGTCATGAGTGATTCCCAAGCACAGAACCAGGAACAAGCCCTGAGAACACTCCAGTGGGACCTATAAAACAAAAGCAAACAAACTAGCAACTAGCCAGGAACGACCACCAGCAAGACAGACAAAAAGTCAAAAAATCAAAGTCAAGAACAGCCACACTGGAAAAAAATGTTTCAGCTCCCTTTCACCCACCCTTGCATAGCTCATAATCCTGATAAGAATACCCAATGCCCAACTTCAACCCTGGGAAAAGAAGAGACCAGATTACAGTATCTTACAGTGCAGTTTTTCAGGGGGTGCTCATGGGTAGTCTTTAAACCTCCTACCAGTGCAGGAACAATGGGCTACAGATAGTTGCAAATAGCTTCTGTTCCCCCTGGCAGCTTCTTACAACCTTTAAGAAGGAGCAAGACTACTTAGAACAGTTCTCAGTCACACATAAAAGACTTCAGAATCTCTAGGACAGGCGAAACGACGAAACGACGAGGGCCTTCTCTTTCCTTTATAAAAGGCACTCCCTGAATGCTTTTGCAAATGCAAAATCTACAACAAACTAGGCAGATATACAAACACATATACACATACCAGCATAATGGTCTGAACTCTGTAATGTAACCCCGTAATAACAGAATATGCATTACCTTAAGGAAATACAATAAGCTACAAGAGAACAGACTACATGAAATCATGAGATACAAATACAAGAATACCTACATCAACAATAATTTTTAAAATATGCACGAAACCGAAAAAATTTACTGAAGTGAAGGACACAGTCAGTGAATTAAAGAAGTCACAGCGGGTGATCAGAACTTGTTCCGCAATCAATAGACTCAATTTAAAATGAATCTTAGTGAAGTGGAGGTATGGTACAGGGGGTAAGGGTTTTGCCTGAAAGGTAGCTGATTCTGGTTAGATTCCTGGCAACACCTGATCTCCTGGTCCTCTGGCCTTTTCCTAAAAACACAGGCTAGGTTGTCTGAATCATTGGGCGTCCGAAACCTGTGGGCCTCCAGAATATTGCAGGTAGGCCCAAAATAAAGAAAAATTTTGAAATAAAACAAAATGGATTTTTTTCACTATAAAATGCCATATGTGATAATCCCACAATAACCACAAAGAAAAACACAGAGAAGATTCACAAAAGCAAATGACATACAAAGAGTATAACAACGTGTAAGAAATGGAAAACAACAAAGCAGTAAGTTCTTCCCTATCAGTAATTATTTTAAACGAATTAAATCCACAAATCAGAAGAAATAAACTGAATTTAATTTTTTTAAAGAAGTGAATCATACACTATGCACAAGTCAATTTATAAGAATATTTAGACTCAAAGTATAAGGAATAAAAAAGAAAACCTTTACAAATGGTAATCAAAAAAAGAGTTATGAGAACAAAGAATTTCAAGTCAAAAATGTCATAAAAAATGTTTATACCTTTGTAACAATTATATATAAAATCTACATAGAATGTACATACATGGCTTATGGTTTATGTTTAT